TCACACAGTACCCTTCAATACATTATAACAACACATTGAATAGAAGCAATGTGTCTATGAAGAAAACAATTAAAATGTCACACAGTAATCTTCGATACATTATAATAACGCCATGAATAGGAGCAGTGCATCTTTGCTAAGCAGAAATTAGCAACAAAATTATTCCTTCCATTTGTATTCTTTATTTATACACTGTATTTTCATGACGATTGCATATCAGTCATTTCCCCCCCCCACTTCTGTGCTAATTAAAGTAACTGTAGGGACAACCCATATATAAACTAAACTCCATATATAGGAAGAGCATATTCATAGAAATGTTCAGAAGGAACTTGAAACTCTGGCCCGGAGCCTTGCTAACTTCTACTTAACCTAGTGAAGGTAGACTTTTCAACTCTCTAAGCATAACAGGAGATATGCAAATTTAATGAGACTGGTTAAAATGGCCCGGAAAATGACAGTTAGAAAACTGATTCATGTTTGTCCCCAAAGCCGACAATGTCAGAGTACAGATCTTTGCCAGTGCAATAAATTCCCCAAGGCCACGATGACGTATATGTGAACATGGTGAAGTGTTGAATCACTTGTTATCCTTTTGTTTGCATATATATATATATATATATATATATATATATATATAGTAAAATGCATATCAAAACATAATGAAATATTGTTTGCTGGGCTCAATTTATGTAAACATTTTGATCTCAGCCTTTACAGCTATTCTAATGCATTTTTTTCCCAGTTAAGGGAAAAGCTAAGTGCAATTAATTCCTTTTAGAGATTTTTAAGTTGGAATATCCTCCTGCTCCCTATGGAGACAATATCGCGAAATCACAACGGCTATACTGAAACTGTACATCTTAAACTTGTACGAAATAAAAATTTATCAAAAATAGAATAAAACCTGCTACAGGCTAAAACCACGTTTGTGAACAAACAAAAGATATGAGCTTTCATAGATGACCCATCTCCTTCTTCAGCTGGAACTGGTTCTCCTGTGTTGCCAATGTATAAATAGCTTTTTATTTATTTTCTTGGTTGTCTAAGGTAGGGTAAAAATCATGAAATGTAAATAAGGTCATCCTGAATGGAGTAGAAAATTCCCTTTTCATGAAAGCACAAGTTTAAAAGTTATATTCAGTTATTGGATGAGTTGGATACAGATATATTATAGGTGTGCAAGACTGTGGCCTGATTGGGGTCACTCATTCAACCAAGAAATGCTTAAAAAGCTATTACCTTGAAGTTTGATGAGATGAATGTGTAGTGATCACATCTGGGTCACCAGTTCTAACTCTTTCAAATTTGCGAGTGTTGAGTTGTTCTCAAGATTGCTGCAAATGCTTCAAAGAATAGGAAATGGAAGAAGAGTGAAGATCTTTTATCTCATTGCAGTGATGACTTTGAGATGCAGTTCTAGGAGTTATATTTCAAATATACAAACATGAAACAGTAAGATTATAAAAATGTAGACTACCACACTAATGGCAGGCGGAATCAAGAAGTGAAATCAAACTATGTGCAACACGAGTATGTGCTTGAAAAATAAAAATATACAATCCTGTGCATAGTTCTAAACTATCAAAAATAAGAAACAAAGTTATGGTTACCTAACAGATATGCAGCAAATGGTGTAATAAACTTATCATTTTCTAGTACTACAGTATTGGCTACCGATGAGTAATTTACAGTAGAACTTTATGTTGGTCTTTCTGAGATGCTTGCTAAGCAGCAGCGAATTTCTGTTGAAAATGCAATGATTGGTGATAATGTGAAGCACATTATTTTGGATATTTTTCAACGATTAGTGATAATGTGAAGCACATTATTTTGAATATTTTTCAGTTTATTTATATATGTTGAGATAGCTGCTGCCCAGGCCAGGCAGGCATAACATAAAATAGGCTTGATATTCATTATATATAAAGCTCTTTTGCTCCTGAGGTTCATATCTGATCTGTAAGCAAGTAAGTGCTGGAGCCGATGTATTACCTTGCTATCTTTACTGCTTACATACTTGGTATCCTGGTCACATTTAAAATTGTGACTAAGGATAAGCCCCAGATACTTAGCTTTGGTTACCCTCCATACTTCTTTAGTAAGAGTTTTTCCTGCATTTCATGCTTGATCTTGTGCCCTCTGGCTACTGGTAGCTGAGACTTGCTTCGACTGATCGACACCCTCCATCTTTGGCACCAGTCTTGAACTTCGTAAATTTTGGCTTCTAATTTTTTAATAGCTTGGTTTAGCAAAAATGATCTTACTGTAATTGCGATATTGTTTGTATAACAGCCCAACAGCTGATAGTAGCCATCTCCCGGCTTAGGAAAATCAGCTTGAATGGTTTGGTTAAGTTTCTCTTCTTTTATTGCTTTCTGCCTGATTGCTGTCCTTAGAATCTACGTTAAAATCTATAGAGGGTTAAAGGGAAGGTATCTTTTGCAATACAATCTGCTGGTGATTTTAAGTGCTTCTATCATTTTGAGGCTGCTTTTATGCCAGAGTTCGGCCATGATTTTGGTGCTGTCCTGTTTAGGAATTCTATGCAGATGCTTGGAACAGTATTTAATTAGATGTACTATTTTTGTTAAAGAACTGGTTGGCTGAGAGTTTAGATACATGTTTCATGCTTGGCTGCTCTTACTAATAGTTTTCTAGATACTGAATCGATGTATTGAGTTCTGCATTTGTATCTTCATAATGAATCACCACAGTCTCATGCCCCATTTAGAAATCTCTTAAGTTTCTCTTACTGGAAAATATTACAAGAAGTAACAGAAATCGGTTATAATTACTGCAGTATTGCAGTATAGCCCATTCATTCCAGCTGCAGCTGATGAAGCAGACAGGTTGTGTGTGAAAGCTCTTATCTGTATATTGTTTTTTATAAACTTGGTTACAGCGCCTAAAATGTTATCTCATTTTACCCAAGTGTACCAATTTATTCTTCAACATCAAAATTATATAAGCATAATGAATAAATTGCATTTAAGCTACATTTTCCCCTTTATTATTTATTACAGTCTAAATGTAATCAGAAACAAAATCTTATCATACAATAATTAGGTCAGTGTCAAAATTACAGATTTCGACTATCAGAAGAAAATACAGAACTACCTAAAGTTCTTTAAAAACAGTTATTCTTTAACTGCAAGTTTTAAATGATTAGCTGTTGGAATAGGTCGTTTAAGTATACTTAAGATGTTTTCAAGTCCTGTTAACTAGCACAACTAGTGTATTGCATACACATGGCAGTAATATAAAACAGCATTATACACACCAAAATTTTATGGAACGTCGTACGAAGCACTAATGCCGGATTGGTCTACATAAGCATTCTGATTACAGTGTTCATTGTTGTTATACCATTTTTCCCCATTGCAGAAAAAGACAAAGGCAGTTAATCCGGTTTAGGGATTTTAAGTTGAAAATAATGTATATTTATTATTTAGACCCATTAAAATTCTTATGTAGAATTTCTTATTTAGACACATGAAAAGTGATATTATATGGAAAAAACTGTCTCTTTATGACGGAAAATATAATTGCTGATAAGAAAGCAAAATCCTCAGAAAATTTAAATATGCCATTGAATAAAAAGGAAAATAATTGCGAGGATTTCCGATGATTCTGCTAATGACTGAAAAAGAAACGTAATTGGCTCTAATTAGCCCTGTCTGCACCAATCATGATGCTCAGCTCTTTACACATTCCATGTTGTTAACCTCATCTCCACTTATAAATTCTGAAGTGGAAGTTTAGGGGTATGCGAATGAAAAAAAGTTGAGAAACTGTATTCTAATTCATGGTGTGGTGGGAAGTAATTCTTTATGCTTTTCTGAAACCAGGGGTAGGATTTTTGTGTGTATTTCCTTCTAGTACTCTGATTCTTAACCTTTTTTACTCATACTTCCCTTTCACCATTGTTAGATCATCATCTCCCCTCTTTTCCCAAAGTCGAAAATTACATATTCATATGTAGATTTCGATTATTTTTAATGTGTTTTATAAATTAGGCAATAAAAAAATATTTAAAATGTAAGAAATTACCAAAACTTGAATAAAAGCAGTTTTTTGTATTCGGAAACTAAAATTACATGAAAACCTGACTGTATTTTCCCTCTGAAACTATGAAATCTCCACCCCCGGTCTCATAACTCTTGTTATAGCATATTCAGCAAGGTCAGATTCCAAGTGTTGCAATGCATCTACATCCATAAAGCTCTGAACATTCAGAGTTTAAAAAATTCTGTAAACATTTAGTTCTATCTTACACTTAGAATTATATTGTTATGCATTTGAAATCCTTCATCTGCAGTTATAACTTAATCACTCATGTTCATAATTTTTAGTCTTATATTTAATCAAGAAACTAAGAAATGCATGTAGTTGGATCACTCTGTATTGAGTGCTTGCATTTTGTGCATGCTATAGCCTAGAGCTTGTTTAACTATTAAAATAAGCATGTGCCTAGAGCATCAAGGAAAGGGGTGCCACTAAAGTTCCTCATTATTCGGTTTAACCATGGAATAAATGATGCAACTAAACCAAGATTTAAAAAAAAAAAAAAAAGGGAATGCAGAAAAACCAGGTGGAAATGTATGTAGGAGGGGCACCAAAACCTTAGGGCATCTAAATGTCTTAATCCAACCCTATTGGAGCTGCTACAGTTAGTGTATCCTAATGAGCTGTTTCAGTGGCTGTATGCAGCTCATAAACTTTAGGTTCCATGAATTTAGATAAAAAATAAATTGAAAGCAATCTGTAATAAATGATTTAGTTATACATTACAACATTGCAACTCCAGTGTTTCAAAGAATATCCCGTGTATTTCTTAACTGGAAACATACAGAAAAAAATTCTAATCCTTATCACTGAAAACTGTCGTTATTTAAGGAAAATATCATCAACAGACGAGTTGCATTTAGATTGTTAGTGAAGAATAGCTATGTTTCCATAACTGGTGAAGTTCTAATGATGTCCTAAATTATTGTTAGCGTACAACTCCAAAAAAAGTTCTGACATCATTGACTGCTGGAGCAGCTGCAGGTGCTGTAGCCAAGACTACTATTGCACCACTGGATAGAACTAAAATAAACTTTCAAAGTAAGTTCTTAAATTACTTCTTATCTTGTTCAAATGTATTATTTTATTGAAGTATGTCTGTCAGAAAGATGCATAGTTTAAAGTATATCTTTCAAAATGTGGATTGTAATATTTTTCTGAACATATAAAGTAGAATTATTTTATGTTGTTAAAAAGAATAGTTAATGCCATACAGCTGATAATTTCTGACAAAATTTACAAGCTCATGGTGTCACTGACACTCTTATTTGTGTTTTGCAAATTTTTTCATTTTTTTTTCATAAATGTTGTACTAATTATGTGTGTAATGCTATTAAGGTGTATGAAACATATTACTATATGTATGTATAGAGTAATGCATTTTAATATGTTTGAAGATGTCTCAGAAACATAAGTTACAAGTGGTTATTTCATTTAGAGTGTTAAAAATAATCTTTTAATATCACGGGTGTAAATGAAAATACACTACATTAAATGGAATATCATACTGTAACATTGCTCGCTAACTTGATATATGTGTTCAACATTTAAGGAGGAATATCATTATGAAATGTTATCACTATTGATTCCAATTAATCAAGTGATATATACTATATATATGTAAATATAGTTTTTAAGGGTCACAAGGTAACTTGGTACCAAGTCAAAAGAAAATTAGCTCTGCCGATGATGGCATTTGTTAGATTCTACCTAAAGTTTTAGCCAAAAGAATAAATCCACCAGCACAAAATTTTTGTGATGCATCAAAGACATCATCTAGATCAGGGTTTCCCAAACTTTTCTCATTGCAGAAACTTTCAGGGTTTAAAATTTTTAAGGATCATTAGAGTAAATTTGGGTTTTTAGTTATAAAAAACAACATGGATATATTAGGTAAACAAAATAAGCATGTATTCATGTATCATATCTGTAAAAGAAAAATGTTTATCAATTTTAAATTTAAAAAAATGACACATAAAACTAACTAAATGAAAAATAAAATTAAAACATTTTTAGTTTTCGGTGACTTTGGTGTGTTCAAGTCATCGAGTTACAAATTCTTTTAATGTTGGGCACTATGTTAAGAACATGAATTTTAATATGAGACACATCAAATCAATTTCTACATTTGAATTAGGTATGTGAGATCCATTTAAGAACTGATTCACCTAACTGAGTGAGCGTGTGCTGATACGAGAAAACTCAGCAGTAGCTTCTTCAAGAGCTCTTATTGGGAGCTTGGTAAAAAAGTTTGATTCACATTTTAGTGAGAAAAGAATGTTTCTCTCCTCCTTTATTAAATGTTTAATTTTAATCATTTCTCAAATTTTTTAATATTTTTTATTCCAAAATTTATTGTTAGTTCTATGTAGAAATGAGGTTCTAGAAAATCTCAAAATTGCAGTTGAAAGAAATCAATCCAGTGAGTTAGTGGCTTGCTTGAGTCGGTTCTCCTGATCCTTTTCTTTGTTCGATTCTTTTAACTTTTCATTCCATCCTTACACAGTGTTCTTGATTGATTCCTTACTGCTGATCTTATTCGTGAAGGTTATTGTTAGTAAGTTGTAAAAAAGAGCCAATTCATTTATGTGAGCGAGTAGTTCTGATCTGATCCCATAAAAGAGATTTTTTTTCCACTTTAATTTAGATTTCATTGCAACATAATGTGAAACAACTGCCTTACATAATTATGTTACTTCAAAGGGAAGTAAAATACGAATAGCTTGTTTTAATAAATTTGTATATGCCTCTGCCAAATTTATTTAAAATTCATTTAAGTTGGCTGTTATATTAATTAATTTTTCAAAATTAGCTGTGCTTCTCTGTTAACTTAGATGTGTTCATGAAAGGATTTTGAATCCAAGAACTGTCATCTTGGCACTCAAGGAGATGTTGACCAATGGTAATTTCTAGTTATACAAATGTTGTTATATTTTACTGAAACAGTAGGGTCTATTTTTAAAATTTCTCCAGTTAAAAAGTTATATAATGTAGTCAAATTCATTCTCTTGTAGTGAAGAAATCCAGAATATTCGATATATCTCCACTGTAGCAGAAAACTTCAATATATTAATTAAAATATTACTAAAATTTTATGTATTTAATGATAAAAATATTACACTTATCAGTAAAAATTTTATGTTTACTTATCAGTTTCAAAAAGAAGATAAAATACGACAACATCCAAAGTAAAATAATGCTTTTAAAGTATTAAAGTGATTCTGCATGTAATATGTTGCCAAAGGTAAGTCATCTGGTGTCGTGCCACATTACTAAATTTATTATATGTGAGATTTAAACCTCTCTTATGTTTTTTCTTTAAGTTTCTTTTAAGAATTGTTTTAAATTATGTTAACTACATAATACCGTACAATGTTTCATTGTTCTCTAACCTTAGTTTCATAATTTTTCACAGAAAACTTAATGACTGCTTGCATTGCACCAGTGTTCCACAGAATGGAGTTTGGGAAATGCTGATCTAGATTTTTGTATTTGGGAAAAAATTATATTAAGTTTCCATAAATACACTTTTTCACTCTGTTTAAATTCATATTGCATATTAATTTCCAATTATTGTCAGAAAATATGTTTTTATTGGGCTGCTTCTTATCAGTCTTATTTTGAAACATGTAACCATATTAAAGAAATTCTTAAATATTCTGTTACCTTATAGCATTCAAAATGAAGTATTTACTAAACCAGTGGTTCTCAACCTGTTTTTACCATGTATACCTTTCATCATTGCTAAGATCATTTCCCCTTTCCAAATTGGCAAATGAGGAGGCAGATGGATTCAGGCAGACTGCATTAACCCCTTCAAACTATGAAATCCCCCCGGTCGAGACCCTGTACTGAACTTTGAATGCAATGGAAATAAATTACCAAATTTAAATTAAAAACTTTTTTAGCACTCAGAGCACGTTATGTGGTTAAATTTTAAGAAAATTTTAGGCCTTCAAAATAATTAATGAAAAAATAGGAGTTAATGTTATTATTTATAGTTTGATAAAACATGGCCTAATGTGGAATAAAGTCAATAAAAATAATATTCTTGAGAATCAAATAAAGCAAAAATTTATTTATTTATTTTGGAATGTGAATCAACTGTGAAGTGCTCTAAAGAACTTCTCAGTTTTTTCAGTCTCCTTAAAGTACAAAGTTATTCGTAAGCAAAATTTCTTAATAATGTCGCTATACAGATTTTCTTGGAAGAGTAAATTGCTACTGAAGAAAGATTATTGAAAGGCTTAAAGGAAACAAAATATGTTGCCCATGCAACAAATACGTCTACTGATAAAAGCGCACATTAACAAAAGCCTACATTAATATACGAGTAAGCCCATGCTGACAAAAACCCACTCCATTGTCTATAACACGTTTCTCAATACAATTAAATTCTTTTCAAATAACATATATACTTTGGCTCTTTGAAAATTTGATATAAGAAGCTATCTTCCACACTTAGTTAAATATATCTTTTAAGTTTCTCAAAAAGCTAGTATGTGATTTGAGTAATTTTTCAAATATATTGAAAAGTGTAATATGCATTTAAATAATGAATATTTTGTTATAGCATTTTTTTAATTATTAAAATTAGCAGCTACTAATATAAAAGAAATAAGGTAATGATAAATATATTTATTGAAAGCCAAATTTTAAAACAGAAAAAAGAATTTTTAAAAAGCCATATCAAAATAAAAATGCAAGCAAGCATGTAAGCATGTATTAAGACTAACATTCGAATCTGTTATGATTACTGTAATTTCAGATTGCATAGAACATTGAATTATGAACAGCTCTAACTATGCATAAAGATGAAAACCAACTGTTACTGACATAAATATAATAAAAACAATTAGAAATTTTAAAACTGATTTTTTTTAATGCTTCAGACAATAATATACACATTATTGAGTACTTTACATATACACTCTTTTGCAAAATCACCAACGAGGACTTTTGTGATCGTGACGAAATTTGGCATGCAAAAACATCTTGATCGAATATGTAAATGATCAAGGTTTCAAGGCAAATGAACAGAAATTACGATCATAGCACGCAATTCACAAAGTATAAAACCAGTAACAGAGACTGAAAACTTATCTTTTTTTGTTGCTGCCATTGTAATTTCATAAAGAAGCAACTAAAGACACCATTACAATGATATCAAAGACCTTATAGACAAACGACTTTGAACGTGGTCGCATTGTAGGGTTGCATGAAGCTGGGTGGTCATACCGAGCAATAGGCTGTCACCTGCAGCGTATAGGCACTGCTGGGCAAAGATGTTGCTACAAGGAAATTGCCGATGAAATGAAGGCTCTGGAGCCAAGGAGCACAAATGCGAGGCAAGATAGGATTATTGTTCGCCAGGCCCGAACCTCCCCAATGGTATCATTGTTGACTATTCAACACACTACAGCCACGTCTATACCTCCTGTGGTACCGTCCACCATCTCACGGCGCTTGTCTGAGGCGGGGTTATGCTCACAGAGGCCTTTAAGACGTTTGCCTTTGACCCTACAACATTGGCAGAGTTTTCTGAAGTGGTGTCGCAGCCGATCATCATGGCTGCCATCAGACTGGCATCGTATAGTGTTTTGCGATGAATCCAACTGCACTCTTGAAGCAGATTACACCGCATTCGTGTCTCGAGAAGACAGGGCCAGTGGTCCTAATCAGCTTTGTTTTACAAAGGCATACAGCCATAACCCCTGGTGTGATGATGTGGGGGCACTATTTCTAATGACAGCAGTTCATCTTTAGTTATTCTCCGTACATCTTTAACAGCTCAACGCTATGTTGATACCATCCTGCGGTAGGCTGCCAGATTCGGGTACCACAAAATATCGCAGATCTGGAGTGACAACTGATGAATGTGTCGCAGGATGACAATAGGAACCTCTACCATTCCTTGCCTTGACGAATTCAAGCATGCATTGCAGCCATGGCTGGTTTGACCAACTACTAATTTGAACACTCAATGGGTGATTGTGAGCTGTGAACAGGTACTATGACTTTGATTTTTAATTATTTTATTATCTGTGTATGAGCTATACACGTATTCAATTTCATCAAAAACAACAACTTCTTTCATGGTGCTTCGATTTTTTTTGCAAATGAGTGCATATGAAGTTCCTACTTCAGTTAGCAATTAAAAAATTGTGTATGCTATATAGTACTAAACATATCTCAGGAAATTATTTGCTTCCTTTTTTTTAAAACAAAAAAAAAGGGGGGTCCAAATATTTTACTGGTTCAAAGTTTTTTAATGTTAATTATTTTCACTTCAAACTAATATCAGAATAATTTCCCAGAAGTTTAAATAAATGCTGATAAAACTAATTAGATAAAATGTATTGTGCTTTGGGCACATATTATTGCTGAGAATTTTGCCTTATGTTTCTTGCATTACTTAAACAACTTTTATTTCAGTAAAGGATCGTTCTGATAATTAGCAAATAATTTCAAATGCATTTTAAATGAATAAATATATTTGAAAGAATGAAAAAACCACCTCTTTTATTAAAAATGAGTAGAAGTCCTAGGGTGACAAAATCTATTGCTGGCTGCAAAAACTAAAATTCTCAACTAATATCCAAACGTCAGTCACTCTTGAGATGTTTACAAATAAACATTGTAAACATTATGGATTCTGAGTATCCAATAAAACCATAAAGGTCATTAATGTGGAACTGTAAGCAAGAAAAAATTAGTTATACTGTCAACAAATCTATCCCCAGGAGGCTGAGAAAAATGCTCCGATTCATTTGCTGAGAAACTATTTTTTTAACATAGTAATTTGAAGATAATCCAAGCTCTGCATGCTGGGGGTTCGCAGGCAAATGGGCACTTTCACACAAGCTTATAGCCTCTGTCTGCAATGTTACATTGAGAAATGAAATAAAAATAAAACTGATAAACAAAAATCTGTCTTTAAAACGAAAGAAAATTTTGCCATGAAGATTAATGACTTCTTTCATACATTTCTTGATATAGGCGTCTAATTGGATTTCAAATAATAACAATTAAGTAAAGGGAATGCTACTTTAGTCAACATATCCAAGTCCAAAAAGTTACTACTTAACATTTTAGTTCTAAAACTAAGAGGGACTTAAAATATCCTGCTATAGCTGTAAAATAATTTTTCTGTTCTTTGATTTAATATCATATCCCTCATTTTTTCAATAATGAAACATAATTAACACTTAATCTCAGCCATATAATATTAAAAATGGCATGTGAGGAACTTCGCAATGATATTTTTCATTTTCATATACACATACCAAAATTAAATAAATAAATAATAAAATACATTTTCAGATTTATCATCAAAATATTATAGCTAATCACTTAATCTAAAAGCAGAAACTTCATTTGCTTCCTAATTAAATAAACAAAGTAGTGATAAAGTATACAGACAGATATTTTTGAGACATTAAAATTCAGATCTGAGTACTCCATTTACTATAATTACAATTATAAATGCATTTTATAGTGATAAAAACCATGTGTCCTTTTGATTCTGTGGGCTTTTATCAGTGTGCACTTTCATCAGTGTGGGTATTTGTAGTGTGGACACTTGTCACAGTGGCTTTTTGGGGGGCAGCGGGGTTTTGTCACATGTGCTTTCCTCCAGTGAACTTTTGTCTGGGAACCCTGGTAATTTACATAGTTAGATGTAAAAGCATTAAGCCATTAAGTATCAGTTGACTAAGTTTTAGTAAGGGTGATAAACATTTCAACACTGGAAAAAAAGGAAAGGTTTTGTATATATGCAAGATAAAGAATAAGTCAAATAAAACGATGATAAATGATAACCCCTTGACCATTCCTTCTTTCTGCCTTAAAAATAGTAACATATTTATAATGTATCTCTCTAAACTGCATCATTTAAAAATTAGCCTTTGATATATGATTCTTATATAACAGTCATGAGACTTGTGTTTATGTAACACTTTAGCCAATAATTTTAAAATTTTTAAATTAAAACCTTAATTAGACAATAGGGTTAAACCAAAACTGGATCATTTTTAATGTAACTCTCAACATAAAAGCTGCACATTTCTACTCCACTTCTGTCTTGCAAGCTTGCTGTTCTTACTTTCTTCAAATATACTGCAAAAATGTAAAATGTTCTAATAATATAACTTATTCTTCAAGAAGAGGAATACTTTTTGCTCCGGTTGTTTTTCTTCTGTATCAAAAATGTTTTATCAAGGATAAAAGAAGTTCTTTGTATGAATCAAATTTATTAACATGTACATCTAGTAATAAAAAATTACTTTAATTTTAATTATATATGTATTTAATACACTAGGTTGTGTCAATGTTCTCAACAAGTTTGAATATATTTCTATTGTTTTACTGATATTTAGAACTGGTGAATTGTGATTTCTAAACCCTTTTGTTTTCTTATTGTAATAATTTTATCATTTAAAGTAAGATTAAAATGATCCTTGTTTATATTGCCTGATTATTATGAGTATCTTTCAGTAACAAATAAGCGCTATTCTTTGAAAGAAGCACTTCAGTTCATCATTCATAGTTACCGAACATCTGGTTTCTTAAGCTTATGGAGAGGGAATTCTGCTACCATGGCTCGTATCATACCTTATGCATCCATCCAGTTTGCTGCTCATGAACAATGGAAACATATTTTAAATGTTGAAACTTATGAAGAAAGGTATTCTGTTCTTTTGCTTACTTGTTATCCAGAAAAATATGATTCAGAATAAACCTAATGAAAAAATTTAATAAGGTGAAATTTTGATAAAACTGAAGAATACATTAGGTTCATAATTATTTAATAAAATGTTTAACAAAATGCAACATCAAACAGTTAAATAAGAATATACATTTTGTATCATCTCTTTATCTTTACATTGTATATTATTATTTTTGGGAAACAAGTTCTTGAATTTAGATAAGTTTATACTGTGGATTTTAAATGAGTATGGGCTATAAACCAATATATTTCTGTGTAATAACTGGACATTTTATATACAACCTGTGATAATTAAATATGGTGATTGATCAATTTCATGGTTTATCTGCAGGAATGGCAGTATACGTATGGAAAAATACTGCTTATTGTCCTTCCAAATGATTGCCTGCAGTGGTTATGCACTTCAGAAAACTTGTCTAGAGGTCTTGCATACTTTGAGCAAAAGCAGTCTCTGGTATACTGTTGAGGTTCAGTGTTTGCATTGCGTTGGATATTGGCAAGGTCTGAAAACCTGGCACAGCACGTTATGGCATTCTCTTGATATTTTGCCAAGTTTAAAGCAGAATTCCTCATCATTCATTCATTGCTCACTTTCGCCCATAATAGCATTGTTGCAATAAACTTTACTTCCACAACACATACTGTATGTATGGAAAACTATACAGATTTGCAAATGATGGCCAACAAACCTCGAACGTGTCTAACCTGATCATAAAATAGTATTACCAAATGCATCACATACCAGCAGTTTATTCTCGATATTTGTTGTTCACAGGTTGTAACATAAGCTAAAATAGCATAATTTGATGCCATATTAAGAGTTTTTAACAATTTTCTAAGTTCTTTGATTGTCTTGATCATAGTGAAATCTTAAAAGGGCTTCTGTTGAAAGCTTTTTAATCAGCATAAATATTATGTGACTTATAAGTAGTATGAATACAAAATAGTTGAATTATATTTCTGAATTTTGTGAACTAAAGAAAATATGAAGTTCAGAGATTGTAAAATGAATAATAAAACCAATTTTTAATTGCATAGATAAAGCAATTTAATTTATATTGTTCTTCAGAACTTAAGTTATAATGGCAGAGTTTGACATATAACAAGTAATTAATATTTTATTCCATTTAAAAAATTTTCTGAACAAAATAATTGGTTTAAAATTAGGCAAAACTGTACCCTTAGTTTGGCATAGATTTTGAATAAAACACACTCTATCCCTTACTTTGGCATAGATTTTGAATAAAACACACTCTATTTTGAGGGCTATCAAACATGGACTTTTTTTTTTCACGCTAACTGTTTCATATTAGAGTGTTTCACTTCCAATGTCATAATTTCTAATTAATATTATATATTTATATAAACTTTTCAAGGTTTATTATTTGAGTGTTTTATTAAAAATTATGAATCGATATTTTTTAAATTTCATTTTTAATTAAGTAAGTTAGATGATTCATGTACATTATGAAATTTTCTTGACCAAGTGTATTTTAATTAAAATAAATTATATTCTTGTATATAAGGTGTGTTAATGAAGATTTTTAAAAATGTTTTTATAGGAAAGCTAATCCTGGAAAATCCTTTATAGCTGGATCATTGGCTGGAGTTGTATCAACTACATGCACATATCCTCTTGATCTTGCCAGAGCACGCATGGCTGTTACGCACAAAGAAATGTAAGTTGAGTTACATTTCCTTTAAAGTAATTTCTTCAAGAAATCAAGTCAACTTTTGCATTTTAATCTTTTCTATTTTGAAATTTTGAATATGCATTATTGGTGCAAATGTTGCACTGGCTGTTTTATTTGGAAAACATGAGACTTGCATTATGCAAACTCAGGTATTTTGAATTAAACTGAGGGTACCCTCTTATATTATGTAAGCTTACGAAAAATTGTTTATGGAAATGTGAAGGTACCTAATAAAAGAAAATTTGACAAAAGAATTTTTATTAAATGTTTATTCTTTATTTTTTAATTTTCAGCTTTCATTTATGTGTTTTTGATTCTGATTAATTACAGATGTAATACTAAAAATTTATAAAAAAGAATCAAAATTGAATATGTTTATAAGCAGAGATGGTGGCGGTTTTTCACCAGAGAAAAACTGGACTTCAACTGTAAACCAAAAATTAGAATAAGGAATTCAGAAGTGTAATATACAGTGTCATCTATTATGGGAAAGAGTAGAATAATAATCAAAGTGGAGGAAAAAGTTAGGAATTAAAAATTGAGATGTTGAAGAAGCCTCACAATTGGAAAGACAGTAATTATGAATTAAGGGGGTTATGTAAACAGGCCTCTTTTTTTTTTTTTTCTTTTTTTTTTCCAGTTTGTTCATAAAAACGTGAACAGCTTTATTAATTTGATGGAAAAAAATTGTAGTTTAAAATTCAAAATAGCGTCATTACGGCTGCTTTAAGTTGCTCCCCCTGTGATGCAGGCTATAGTTTGCTCTAATTATTTGAATATTTGAAATAAAAGTATCTTGAAACTTTTCATTAAAATATAATCTTGTGCAAATCTTCAATCTAAATTTAGGAAGATAAGAATTTTGGACACTTAATAAAAATTAATATTTTTTGAAATAATTTGTTCTAAACAATATTCATTATTGACATTGTAATTAATTCATTTTAGGTTCATGGTATGGTCAAAGACTATCTGCATGAAATTTAATGTCAATCATTCAGCTAATTTTTGAGCTACGAATTAAATTTGTTTTCGATTAAAAACAGAAAATTTAAATACATGATTAAAAGATGACCAGGACTGGGGAACAGTTGATTTAATTAGCTACTTTCATCATTATGTATCCTCAATGTGAAGTTTTATAGCTTGCTAGCTTTTAGCAATTCTTAAGCCATTTTGGTGGGGTGCTATTAATACCTTTATAAATCATATATGGAAGAATTTTAAGAACCAGATTTTGTATTTCACTAATTTGAGAAGATAAGACATGAAAATTCTGTACAAATCCATGCGTTCAATAGAAGAGAATCTAGAGATAAACTTTACCTGTTCGGTTTAGAAGCTGCGAAGTCAGCTTCTGAAAGAGAACAGATTTGGATGAGAAAAGACTGAATATGGAAACAATGTAGCAAAAACAGGAAAACCATCTTTTATTCAGTAGAATGTCAGAATTTGACAAACAGAGGAAGTCAAATCAAGAAATTACTTCTAGAGTTAATCAGTGTCCAAAAGTGATTTATTGAATGAAATTGAAATGCTCAGGTAGGTACAGAATATTTATTACAATAACGAAACTGAATTGACCCACAGCACTTATAAGCATTTCCTAAGAAGCAAATTATTTTACACTTTGAAAAAAGCCAGTAACTTAAGAGTCATTTTCCGAAAAATAATTCTAATTGAATTGAGGCTTAGGTTAGGGAAGTTATGTTTATAAGCTTTTAACCTTTGACTATTAATTCCAGAATATACTGTGGCTATTATTATAGGTTATTTATTGGCTGTTATAATTCATTATTTCATTGGAATTTATCTTTCCCAAGTTGTGTTGACTGCCGTTGTAAATAAAGTGACAAGAATTTATGGCCATTAACAGTATAAATTTCTTGTGTTATGATTATAACAGGAAATGTGGAGTTTTGTAATTTGTGTCTTTGATTGCAGTATCCATGACCACTTTGTATATGAGATGATTCCCTGGAAATTAAAGTTTGGGGAATAAAATTATGACCTCGATGAAAATAGCAATTTGCCTTTCATTCAATTCAAACAAGTATAGGATTATAAATTTTCTTTTCTCCAGTTTATGTAAACTGTGTGCCTGTTGTAACCTTATATACTGGCAATGTGTTGTTATATTCCTTTTGAGATGTATAATTTCTGATTGTGTTAGTAAATTTTGGTTTACTTATAGAGTCATTAGGTTATTTTGATGCTATAGATGTGAAAAATGAGCAGTACCTCTCACCAGGACTTGAACTTGGACATCTTGAGTACATGCCATGTGCTACCGTTACACCATGAAAGCATGCAGAAAGGAGGGAGAAAATACCTTATATACTCCCTCTTGTAAAGGGCGACTGGGTATTAGAGGACCCAATCTACAAATCCTGGTGGTGACGAACTATTGTCCGCCACCTTTTAGTTCAGCCACCACTATACAGTCATTAGTTTTTTTGAAATGAGAGACATGGAGAATAAGCAATGCCCTCGCCGGGACTCAAACCCGGACCTCTCGAATATGCGCCAAGTTTGCTACCGTTATACTACAAAGGTATGTAGAAAGGAGGGAGAAAATACCTTATATACTGTAATGTATGCAGTATTGTTTAAATTGTGATTAATTTTTAACACAAAATTTCTGTTGTTTTAAAAATATTTTTTGGTTTTATTATTTTATAGGTACAACAGTTTAAATCAAGTCTTTATTAAAATTTGGAGAACAGAAGGTTGTAGTACACTGTATCGTGGCTTTACACCAACTTTGCTAGGTGTGATACCTTATTCAGGGACTAGCTTTTTCACTTATGAGACTTTAAAGAGATTACACAGTGGTATGCATTTAATTTATTCATGAAAATTTTAAGTTGATAATATAATTACTGATATTTTCTCTTTAACTGTAGGTTGTATATTTTTATGTAGATTGATGTATGTGTGAGTAACACGTGCATACGAAAATATCCCTAACATTAACTAGGAAAGCCGAAATCTTAGTTAAGATAGACATGTTACAATTAATAATCAAATTTAATAAGGAAAAGTAACAGTTGCCGGGTACATTATAACGGCTTAAGAGATTCAGAGCACAGTACAGATGCGAGTACACAAGTTCACATATCTCGGCGAAGCAGAGACGCACACATTTGTTGAAGTAGTTCCACTTGACTGCCGGGGAAAATTCTTCTCTCCCCGTCAGCCTGTAGGTTTGCCAAACGGGTTTACTGTTTCGCCAATTGGCGCTTTTCTGTACAGTTTTTAAGTCCGTATCGCCTGTTTGGCGCTGCCGCTGCAAGATTAAATATGTATGCTGCATATTGATATTCTAGAATATCTCATTGTTTTTCAAACTGCAATATACTTATTTTCAGCAATAGCCTGACACTTTAGCAAGCATTAAAAAAAAAAGAAAGAATAAAAAACAAAACAAAGAATAAATACATAAAATAAAATCAAAATGAAAATGACTTTTCGATCTCATAACATATTCCTCCTCCATCTCACTAGAAATAGCCATTGGTGCAACTGTTGCCTGTTGTGTGAGAATTCCTAGTAGAAGCTTTACTATGATGAAGTATGATCTGATTTATAATCCGTTTATATCGATTAATTTGACTATTTCTTATGGATAGGTCTAGTATAGGTATGAATGTTTTAATATCTGTTTAATATTTTTAATAGCAATAAAATGTTTCATTAACAGTTGTTAAAATTTTCAGTTTTAAAATGTTCTAAGAACAAAGGGAAGTGGTATATCTTCGTTTAGTTTCCTATTCAGATCAGACACTTTAGTCTGCATAATGATAATAAATATTTATCAGAGAAAGATTGGACGCTTTAATTTCTTTGATCATACTAAGGTATGTTTTGATATTGTGCTGGATAGTGCTGCAACTTCACTTAGGCTAGAAGAATCGGAAAAACATTCCATAATTACAAAGTGGGGATTTGATAGCTCTTCAGGATATAGTTCTTACAAATCGACAGTTCACAATTTCTAGATTGAGTGATTTATTTCCTGAAATTTAACGGTCAGCTCTCTAAAACATTGTTAGTGAAAGACTCAAGTACCGCAAACTCTGTACGTGATGGGTTCCTAAGATTTTCTCTAACCATCACAAAACTCAGTGAGTGTCACATTAAACTTCCTCCAGCGCTACCATCAGGATGGAGAGGAGTTTTTGGACAACATTGTCACAGCATATGAGACATGGGCACATTATGCAACTGAAGAAACAAAAGAGCGATCGAAACAGTGGACGCATTCACACTCTTGAAGTCGTAAGCCAGTGAAGTTCAAGCACACATTCTCCACCAAAACGTGTATGGCTACAGTGTTTTGGGGCTGAAAAGTTGTTCTCTTGGTGGAATTCATGCTCCGTGGCACAGCCATCACTGCATGACTCTTGAACATCTTCAAAGGGCAATTCAGAACAAGAGGAATGTTGTCGTCAGGTGTTGTCCTTATTCATGACAATGCACGGCCGCACTTTGCAGGTGAAACAAGGATACTCCTGCAGCGTTTTGGATGGGAAATTTTTTATCACCCACCATACAGTCCTGAATTGGCTCCCTCAGATTTTCATCTCTTTGCCCACATGAAACGCTGGCTAGGACAGCGTTTTGCCACAGACAACGAGCTGCAGACCTGCGTACAGAATTGGCTGAAAACACAGGGGACTGCTTTCTATGAGGAAAGTATTGGAAAATTGGTACCTTGCTATGACAAATGTATGAATCGAAATGGCGATTACATCTAAAAGTAGCTTAATGTTGTATCACGCTGTTCCATATAAAATTTTTTTGATTCTCACTGTGACTTTCATTTAACGACCAATCGGACCTTGGAAAAAAATAACCTACGTATATGGACTTATGGTGCAAAGGCACAGATGGGTCCAAATGTTGGAGTAGTTGCTACAGTTGTAAGGCAAAGAAATGCAGCAGCAACAGCCATCGCATTCTTCATAGATTCTTACTAGCCTTGAGCAAAATGCCTTCTGAACTTATGGTAGTGTTAAATGATGCTGTAAAAATAATTAACTAAACAAAATCATGACATCTTAAAATGATCATCGCAGTAATGTGTGAATATGTACCAAGCTATCATATGTCCCTCTGCTACACACTGAATTAAGGCTGTTTTCTTGAGTAAAAGCTTCACATTTGCTAGAATTGCATGCAGATGTAGCAGTATTTTTTGTGAACATTCTGATGGCCTTCTGTACTTGTGACAACTATAAATGGTGAAGTTTGGATATGCAAACTGTCATATTTTCCTCAGTTTTTAGTAAAATGAACAAAATTAATCCATCATATCAAAATTCAAATGCCACAGTTTTAAACACTGTTAAATGCAAACATCTTTTTAAGATAAAACTAATATGTTATTGGAGTGCATGGAAAAGAAAGATATTAATTGCTTCCCTCTTTCAAAAACTTCTTGAATGAAAATATCATCAATATTCAATACAAAATTTTAAAAAACTATTTAGATGCATCTCGAAACCTTGAAAGACTTGTTTGAATATTATTTTCCTACAGCTGAAGGAAAGGTACTTAATAACTTTAAATAAGGTCTGAATGTGTCCAAGGCAAACGAGAAACCGTCCAGCTTAAATCAACAGAATGCAAGGTCTTTATGCACTTGACATCTCACAGCAAACTAAAAATCGCATTTCAAAAGTCTACCAGAATTTGGGTGGTACTTTAAGATGAATTCACAGTCTTATCTGAGAAATCAAAATTAGTGGTGTTGCATTTCTCAACTATGTATTATTCTGAAGTGAGATTCTCTTTCTGTACAAGAATCAAAACAAAATGCAGAAATTGTTTAAATGCAGCCACACATTTACCACTAGTTATCATCTATTGAGTCTAATATACAAAAACTGTCAAGAATTGCAACCATGCTTATATATAAAATATGTAGATGGTATTTTATGTAATGTTTTAATCTAAGCTTATTATTATACTGCATTCCACTTGAGTTAAAAAAATTGTATTGAAATTATATTGTGTAATGAATAATACAATTTTTAATAGTAAATAATAAATGAATATGTATTTTAATTGAATGGCATGTAATGATTAAACTGAAGAAGCTGTGCTTATTATATAGAATCTTTTTATTGTTGCTTTTCCCAATAATCAGTCATTGCATAAATGGTTTGATTTATTGAACTCTAAAATAACTTTTTAATATGGCAAAATTGTTGCGATACCATGGGTTTAAGGGTAGTTGAGAATAACCTGAGTTTCAATGGCAAATTTTATAGTTTCTTAAGTTCCATTTCATGGATACTGTGCTGTTGTTTACTTATGTCTTTGACATCCCTCTTTCTCCTTATTCTTTTAAACACAATTAACTTGTAAGACATAGAGGGGACATACACACACCTAAGGGGCTTCACCATAGAATTTGATTCTAAAACGTGCTCTGCAAATAAAAACATTTGAGCATTAGATTGTTAAGCATTTCCAAGAGTTGGTTTGATGACCTATTCTACACATATCTCTGCAGCTGTCTTATTTCCAGTGACTCAAAAAATTGAGAGTAAACCTAACCTTTTGTTGATAAATGTAATTTTTAGAGCAAATAAATTGTTTCTATTAAGTGCAATTTTTTTTTACTTCATACACTTAATAAATAATTACCTTAGTGACAGTAATACAGAAACTGAAAGAAAAATCTTTAAAAATGAAATTGCAGGTAACATTTGTTGGTTGTTATTTTATGCTGTTACTCAGCCTTTTTGAGTTTGGACTACAGAGTTTCGGTGACCCTGATGTCTAGAGCCTGGAGAGGAGTATATGTACTTGCAGCTTACAGTGATAAAGACACCTTATTGTCACATTATGTTCCTTATGTATGGAGTCATTTTCTTGGTGAAATAGGAAATTTTTATATAAACCTAACTTAATAGCACTTTCCTTTAGATTCTTTTTTTAGTATATCTAAATATATGGTGGTTCATAATACCATCAGATACGAAGATAGATTTCATACTATCTTCTAAAATTGCGTATTAAAGTATAATAAGTAGGCTGTGTCGAGAAAAACAATATTATCCACAAGAGTGGTACAAATTTATTAAAACTGCAGCTTAAAAAAAAATATTGGTAGTTGACCTTATTTTTTTTCTTTTCAGAAATGCATTCTTAATTTTTTTTATCAAAATTTTTGTAAAAACATTCTTAAATTTCATAAATGAATGCATTTCAGTCTGATATTTTCACTTTTATATATATATATAGAGAGGATAAAATGCTCACACCTTTTATGCATAATAATAAAATTTTATATGTTTCATATCTTTTGCTTGAAATTTACCAAATTAAGTATATAAAATTTTTCAAAAAGGAAAAGTAAGCTAAATTCTTAGAGCTGCAGTAATTCATTTCTTGAATCAAAATGGTTGGCCTGTAATAAAATTTTAAAGGAGTACTTAATTATGCAATATTTTAAAAATATTCTGTGTATTTCTCCAGCATAAATAATGCTTGTAAGCTTTTTCTCATAACTATTGATTTTAAAAATTTATTTCTAAAAGCATTGTGTCAGAGTTAATCTGTATGTTTTAAATTGTTTTGAAAGGTGTTTTATGTGGTGCAGTAATACATAATACAAAATTGATTCGTATAACATGTAATGCTAGCTTTAGTAAGTACATTTCAAAGTCTGAAGTCTGGCTAGAATATCTAGATTTAAAATCCAGACTACCAGCCCCCTCCCCCCCAAAAAAAAATATAGGGGGAGAATTTTTTTCTTACAAAGTCTAAAGGTGCATCCACACAACTATGCTAGTGATGTAAATGACTCACATCTAGTGATGTAAATGACTCACATCTAGTGATGTAAATGACTATGCTAGTGATGAAAGTGCACATCAGCGGCAAAAAGTCATCCAAATGAGGACGGGAACAAAGTCTGCATTTAGCCAATAGAATTATTGAAAAGAAAAAATCACGTGACACTCATAGAAGGCTGCAAGTTTAAAGTGTTTCATCTTCTGGTCAAAAAAATATCACACTCCGTTTGTTTTATAGTGAAATTTTGTTTTTTTAAGCAATTTAAGAACTTGGATAGTAAGATTAAACAGTTATTATATTCCTAAATCAGTTTTTATGCAAATTAAGATTTATAAAATTGTTTTAGTTGTTAAGATTTATAAAATTGCAAAAAATTTAAATTTATAAAACAGTATATAATGAGAACTAAATGACTTGAAACACTATCCACCATATAATAAAATAAACTTCATATTTTTTAATCTTTACTTAACTTGCTTGTTTATGTGAGTAAGTGTAAGGGAATCTGTGTAATAAGTAAAGTGTTTCATAATTTGGTTATTCTGCATATATTATTACACAAATTAGAAGAAAAAAGTTGATCCAATAAAAATGTTTAAAGATATGCTGTTTTTAAATATTTTTAGCACAATGTGACATTAGCCCAAATGCTGTGAAAATGTGTATGTGCCTGTAAATGGGGAGGGGAAAAAAACGCCCATATGGGAGTAAAATAAAATCTGAAAGCTTTCAGATTTTTTCCTTTTGTTTCTCTTTTTATTATTTCTTATTTTTATTTATTTTTGGATTTAGAATAAGGTTCGAATTTTGGACAGTTTAGGTTAAATTATGTAGAGAATAAAATAATGCAATGAGGTAAAAATAAAGAAATAATTTTTATGAGAGATCCATATATATCATTACATAGTCGATTAATGGTTTGTATTTACAGTGCACATTTTTAAACTAAATTGAAAACAATAATAATAATAGATGAAATAAGAAATGAAAACAATAAGAATAAAATGATTCATGATTAAATATAAGAAACACGTTTCAAAATGAGAAAAAGCTAACTTTGGTTTACAGTGATTACGGGTGAGGATTAAACTCAATATTGTTCCCTTTGCAGTCCAATGTGCTGACCACTCAGCTGTCTGTGACATCAGTTTGTACAAAAAATAATGTAACAAGTAGAAGTCACAGCAAAGGCTATTTAATTAATATTCAATAATTGAGTGCCATGTGACTTAAGTTGTAACTGTCCTCGAAAATTTCCTAACTGTGTTTTATTGAATACCTGTTCACAGTCAACTACTTTATTTTTAACAGTTATTATATTGTTGATGTTAGTATTTGATGTATTTAATATTTAGATACTTATAGAGTTTCTTGTTACACATGAAATAACAAACATTTGTAATAGTTAAGGAGAATTCTGTAAGGCAGAAAATTTGATTTCGTAGAAGCTGCAATTTATTTAGGTTCCTATTACTTATGATATTACAAACAGGTGAAACATATGGATATACTGGTTAGATCATTGCTTTATAAATGTACAGTTCCCCTCCCTTAATGAGAATTTGAAATTTATACCAATCTATATGGTTTTGGAGAACTGAGGATGCTGTAAACACTGCTGATAATTTTATTCCTGTGGATAGTTACAATCTCTTTGGGGGGGAAACTTAGTGCTATGTGGTTCCAATGTGATAAGACTTCAGTCAGCTATTGGCTGTTTGTTCACGTCACAGGCGAAAAAGCTGAACATGAGCAAACTCAGTATTACGTCTTCTGCATAATGCAAATTTAAGCTGGTGGTAAAAAAATAACGCCATCCACGTCACGAGCATACTCGTGTGGACGGGCCTTAAGAAGGATGAGCATAACTCAAGAAAAAAGCAAGTATGCTGTAAAAATGATTTTTCTCCGAACTAACTGATATCCCTGGATGTTACTTTCAAACACCTGCTGGTTAGGGAGGTTGCATCATGACCAGTGACAATAAATTGGTTAATGTTTGCCATGACTACACTTTCTAGCATTTTTCTTTATCTGAATTTAGTAAATGAAGCCCCAAGACATATTTTGGAATGAAATGTTCCTTTTTTTTTTTTTTTTTTTTGTTGTGTGTGTGTGTGTGTGTGTGTATGGAGTAATGATAGGGAGAACGATTCTGAGGAACTTAAGTTAACATAGTGAACTACATAACTCTAACTTTCTCATTTGATCTGTTATTAGTTTTTGCAGGCTGTTGTTATTACAACTGTTTTATCAAAAAGTTTTAATTTTCGATTATATCAAATAATTTCATTTTTAAGCTACAGGTGGGTGTGCAAAGCAAAAGCATATTTTGGCATCAAGCAGGTAAAAAGTGGATTTGCTGCTAAAACTGGGTAAGGGCATTTGATCAGCTCTCATTTATATGAGGGGTATGGTGCTGGAATGTGAACAATACACTATATACCAATAAGTAAATAAATAAAAAGCTGAAAAAGGAACTTTTTAATTTTTTATAAATTGTAACATCTCATTCACAGTGATTAGCAGAAAAATCTGTTATTCTAATAGCGACTATCGTGACAACAAAGGGATGATTGAGGGAGTGAGACAGCATTACAATAAGGGAGTGCTATTGACAGCTCCAGTGTTAATGGCTGAAACCAATATATTTCATAACGAAATGGACTTAAAAAGATTGATTGCATATACAGTACAAAGTCCGTAATCCGGACTCGTCGAGACTTCGGTGATTCCGGATAAAGGGTTTTTCCGGATTATAGATCAATTTAAATCTGGTAAGATGGCATGCAGAAATTATACAAATAAAGATATGAAACCGTAATTTATGAAATAAAGAGCAATTATGATCTAAAGGATATCAAATTTTACAAAAAAAAGCTTAATATTTATTTGTTTACTTTATTAAACATTTCTTTCAACGTGCACGTGCATAATGTATGCTCATTCTCTACGCGCATGAGTAAATTGTGTGGCTTTGAGGTCCGGATTATAGATCATTCTGGATAATGGACGTCTGGATGACAAACTCTGTACTGTATTTGACAGGTTGGTTAATTAAATTAAATAATCGGCAGTTAAAAATTTCATGTGAAAAAGCTTCATTTCATACCGAAGCTCCTAAATAATTTGGAGAGGTATTCATCAGACTCATTAACAATGAAAAGTTATCTCAAAAAAAAATTATAACACTGATGAAACTGGTCTTCTCTTGTAATATATACCTGAAATACCTTGGCGACCTCTGCAGGGAAGGACACAACTGATATCAGATTCCAAATCAATACCAGGAATTTTTGGCCTATGCAAATGCAAATGCTGCAGACATGCACAAAATGTAAGCTGTTCATGATTGTTAAAAATACATAATATCAGGCATTTAAAGGAATAAAAAGTTTTCTGATCATTTATCATTTAAATAAAAGAGCATGGATGACACAATCATTAATGAATTATTGGTTTGAAAGTTATTTCGTATCCGATGCTTGACAGCATTTGAAATCGATTGGTTTGCCGGATGATGCAAAAATTGTTCTGATTATAGTCCGCTGTGTGGCTCACACTTCACAGTTTTAGTAAAAGGTAACATCTCTATCTTATTCTTTCCTCCAAATTATATATCCATCATTCAGCCAATAGATATCAAAGTGTTTTGTGCTCTGAAATGCAGATATAGTGTAGTCTATTTAAAATCTGTGCCAAATTTTCTGAACAGTAGGAAGATCATTCAATAATTTTTTAAATATTTTTACATAAAATCTGCTGTGTGGAGCACTTCAAGAGTGTTATATTTTGAAAAATGCTTCATTTATAGTGAGCTGCCATATTTCATAGTAGTGATGATGATAGTTATACTTAAAAGGTTTTCAGATATCACAAGAGGAAAGGAAAAGTGTCCAATTAATGGAATTTGTGTGAAGAAATGTTAAGAGCTGATAATAAGCGAAGATGATATAAGACAAGCTTTCTATTGTGATGACAGTGTTCCAGTCATTAATCAACTAAGGGATGGAAAAATTTGCAGTATGGCTTTTAAATCTAAAAACGTATCGCTATAGATAGTAAAAAGAAAAAGATTGTTGAGAATTAAAAGATTTCAGTTGACAGTCTAATGGGAATTCTCTACACAGCAGTTACAGGACTTAAACAATTGAGCTTTGTAACTGAATTAGAAATTATGTCTGTAAAAAATTAAGAGAGTAATTAGCACAAAAAATGAAACAGCTTTAACAACTTACATTGAAAGAACTATTTAATAAAGCAAGCAAATACATATTGAGATTTATTTTGTAAATTTTGATTCCCTTAGGGTTCATAAAGGCTTTGTTATTTCTTGAAGAGTTATTTGATATTTTTAACTTGAGAATTTCTGCATGTCTTACTAGATTTAAAGTAATGACCTAAAATCTAGGTGTTTAGGTATTGCTATGATCTGTTTCCAAGTGATTCTTGATCTTGGATTTTGTACTGTATATGTAACTTTAAAACTCTTCTTTTTATTTTTGTAATTATTTTCAAATGTACTTTGATGTGACTTTTCTTTTTTATTTTTAAAAATATTAAACTCTAAAAATATATTTTATTCAGAGCAAACTAATAACAGTCCTCTTCACCCATTGGAAAGACTTACATTTGGAGCTGTGGCTGGTTTGTTGGGTCAGTCTGCTTCTTATCCTCTTGATATTGTTCGTCGACGAATGCAGACAGCATCTGTGACTGGAAGTGTGTACAGCACCATTAGAAGCACTATAAATATAATAATTAAAGAGGAAGGTTTCATCAGAGGATTATATAAAGGATTAAGTTTGAATTGGATTAAAGGTCCAATCGCTGTTGGTATTAGTTTTACCACATTTGATATTGTGCAAAACTTCATAGGAAATATAAGTTTTTTATCTGATAGGTAGTTAAATGGAGATGTAATTAGCTCACAGAATAGTGGCCAGATCAGTGACTTTTATCAGCCGTTGAGATTTTATGGAAAAGTCAAATACATATACATTGTTGTGTTTTACATATATTTGAGTTTTCAGTAGTTTTGCAATGCCATGTAAAAAGTCTGTTAATTTGTTACTGTATATGATGTATTAATGTACTAGTAATTTTGAATTTTATTTCTGTTCTGCATTGTTTTAAAAATGTTTATACTGTGTTGATAAGGAGGTGCTATTTTCTCCAAATATGTTTATTTACTAATATTATAAATAAAATATATACTAAGAAAATTTATAGTATATTATTTGCAATGCCAAAAAAAATTATGTATCATTATTTTTCCATTGAAATACATTGTGCTTTTATATGCTTTTGAGATTTTTTAATTTTATTCTTTCTATTTCTTCAATTTAATTTATATGCTGGTTACGTGGTTTAATTTTGTAATAATGTAGCTTTGATGATGCTTACCATCGAGGCTGTGCATTCGATTTAATTTAAAATTATAACCCATAAGAATTAATTTAAAATTTTCCATACAAACATTTAGTTTGAGCTTTGGGAAAACGTGAAAATATTTCATCGTATATGGGGTATTTATAGAAATTCAGAATATTCAGTTTTTGAGAGCATTTTTTAAATTCAGATTTAAATATACTGAAGCCTTTTTTCGATTGTCATTATGAGGCACGTCCAATTGAAAGTGGGACTGCAATAATTTTCTACAATGGTTTATTAGTATGAATACCTATATACTTGTAAATTGAAAGAGTTGTGATATTATATCACAGATATGCATATATGTTTTATAGCTGCATAAATATACTGACCTTTTCGATTATGTACAAGATATCTGTGAGACAGTGAATCAGATGCTTGAAGCAAATACCTATTTGCAAAGATTTCTAGCCTCAGTGAGATATTTAAGGACCTATCTTGCACATACTTTCTTATTTTGCAAATTCAAAGTAATGTTGACACTTCCCTTGCTTAGAGAAAAGATATCTGCTATCTCCTGTAACTGTTTGATGGATCTCCTTTACAAGGGAGTCCACTGTAGCATTCAGCGATTCTTCAGTAAAGACTAGGTGTATTTGACTGGTAAGTCAACTATATTCATACACCACCCATGATTAAGAGTACTGCATCATTGTAAATCTACACTGCATGACATGTATGCAGTCAAACAAATATTTTTAATTTGACTAGGAATGTTGGTTTCACTATACCTTCAAGCAACAAAAATTGGATTACCGCACGCTAAGCCTGTTTAACCCTTTGCAACACGCATATTTAAAATATATTTTAATCTTTAAAAAAATGCCTTAGAATGAGTCAGATGGACTTACTTAAGTGCCTTTAAGGCTTGAAAAAAATTCTGCGCTTTTAGTTTTTACGGGGGAAGGTGGGATACCATTTGTCCCACCATGCAACTAGCACGTCTTATAGCATATTGGTGTATAGCAGGAAAAAAAAATTCATATGTGGAATGAATAAACAAAATAAAGCGTGCATTCTAAAATATTGTAATAAACACACTAAATGCATTTTGTACTTATTGCATATATGCATGCTTGTAAAATTTTGCATATGCATTTTGCATATATATATTTAATATTTTTAAATTTTAGAAACTTTGAGAACATGTTGGTTCATTCTTTTGTAAGCATAGAGACACTTCACAGTTCACACATCCAAATGTTGTCGTTCTTCTTTCTATGTGCTGCAATATGCACATTTTCTGCTGCTCCTTCTCTCTGGTGTGTAACTTACATTTTTTAGTCTTTTCTGGTTGTACGAATGGTTTTTTAGTTTTTATTTGAACTGGGGATTTCAGTTCATTTTTCAGCTCTTTCTTGCCTGCAAATGCCATTAGACCTTCTATAACTGAGAGACTAAAATCTTTCATTGTTTTTACAACATGATCGGGTTCGCGAACAAACTTAAATAGAATAAATGTGTTTACTATACTCGCATGTAAAAAGGAAAAAAATATCCTGTGCCATCATTTCTTGCTTTTGCGGCCTATTTCATATAATCCTTTCAGTTGATCAAATAAGTCGACATATTCCATATTCTTATATGAAATAATGCTGTTTGGGCACAGTACTTTTTTTGTTGTTGTTGTTGTTATTGTTTTTCCATCTCGTTCTTTTCTATTAATTTCTTTCATTTCAGTTGCCTTTTCCAAGCAAGACAGGATAGAAACGGATCTTTATCCTTCCATTTTATGCAATAAATTGAATCATCGCTACTGAAAAGTCTATCTATTCTCTTGACATAAATTTGGGGTATCCTTCCGATCATATTTAGTGCCACATGCATAGATGGCAGCGACATGCATAGATGGGTCTGTGTTTAAAGCGAACAATTATAATACTTCCCTTTCTCTTCAGCATACTTCAACCTCAGTTTATTCTCTTTGGATTTCAATTCATCTGAATCAGACAGACACCTGAAGCCTTTGAGTTGCAATCGATGGCAATTCAGCAAAAAAGATCCAAAGCTTCCTGAGTTGTTAATTTTTTCTAGACATTTTGCACCTCAGAGCAAAACGGATATAAAAGCGCCCGCAATCCGAAAAAAAGTAGATGCAAAAGAAAAGAAAAAATCGTGAGTGCTGCCTCTCATTGCGGAATTCAAGTGTGTGTGGGACAAATTTTACCCACTTATTTCACTGCAATTAATGTTATAAAAATATTGAATCCCAATTAAGATTTTGAAAATAAAATCCTTTGATATTAAAAAATCATACACATCATAATTGTCACCAAATTTTTAAAATATTGAAAAATGCAAGATACATGGATATCCTCTGTGAGCCTATTTGAAATTTTTGCTTATAAACTTAAGCCCTGGTATAGTAATGACATCTACTGAGCAATAATAACTAAATAGATTATTTTTAAAAGATTAGAAAATTTCTAACGGAAATTGCTAACTGAGAAAATAAATATTAATTAGGTGGGACATATATTGATCCACCATGCCGCAAAGGGTTAAAGGAATCCATGACATTGCATTACTTGCTATGCTGCTTCTGTACCAATAAATGACATATTGCTACTAATTTGTTACTGTATATGATGTAATGAGGTTTCTCCTATTGTGCCAAATTATCCACTAGAGAAATATGAAAGTTCTGTCACACAGATTAATGCCGCCAGAACAACAGTCCCACTTTCATTTGTGCATGTTATATATATATATATATGTTGTGTGTATATTATTAAATTTTAGATTTGTGTATAGCTAAACACTTTTTGAATCTCCATTATAAGTTTATACATGTTAAACCATTGTTTTAGAGTATTTATTATGTTTCAAATTCATATGAAAAGAGCACTGTAATTGCTATCGTGGTTCAGTCTATAAAAAATTGGGGGGGGGAGGGTATTTGTGTTCGTATGACATAAAAATTATTTATGAATAAATTCATGAAAAGTACCTATAGGATTAAATTAGGCAGTGATTTGTTTTTGCTTTCCTAATTTTAATTTCCACTTTAATATTTTGATTAGCAATGAAAAGTATGCATTATATAATGACCCACATTTTGATCACTAGGGGATTTTAACAAAATAAAGGGATCAATCTTTTTTTTCCATCATCTTTTGCAGCAGTCATTACTGTCATTATGAGGTAAGCCAAAAGAATGGGAATGGCCTTCAAACACCTATTCTTTTAAAGTAGCAGACTACAATTTTATCAACTATATCAAAAAAGTTTTATATTTGGTCATATTTATTTTCTCAAATGCATAAATCCTTTTAAGGTTTTCTTTTCCATTACAGAGATATAGTCCCAAAAAATTTATATTTTAGCCAATAAAGGCTCATTATTTTTTAATGTCGAACAGATATTTATTGTATTTTCCAACATATTTTGTGAGATTTATTGCATTCATATGTGTCATTAAAGCAAAGCAGCCAGCCACTTTCAATACTGCTTTTGACCCTTCAGAAATGTAATAAGAGTATGCTTGATTAATGCTTAAATTTCACTTTTTTAAAATTGTTAAAACTATACAGCTAAATTACAGTATTAATAAAATCGTAGAAAACAAATGGCAAATGTTTACAGCTGATAATTGCATTAATTTTAATGGTATTGTAATTGGTTTCCCCTTTCTGAGAAACAAGGAGTGTGTTGATCATTATATATCTGTTATATTTAGAATTAAAGAATTTGAAAAACAAATTAATTTTATATAAAGCTTCGGAATCACATTTTGACTTGAATATTTTGGAAATATTAAAGAATTGTCCTAATTAAAAGTATTAAAAACATTTTATTTCTCTCAATGATCTACTTTTGCCAATCTGTAGGATAGTCTTTTCCAAAATGAATGAATGTTGAAAGAACTATAAAATAAGCATAGTATTTTTAAATCAATTCAATTTTTTTTAATTTTTAAAAATAATTCATCAATTCTGCTCTGTATTTTGAATGATAGGTTTCAGTGTGTGTGTAAAATGTACTTTTCAAAGAGATGTGTTTAGTTTACAATTTAAACATTTTTTTAGCTTGATCTCATAGTGCTAATTTGAAATCTGAATCAAATTTTTCTTTAAATTCGAATTTTGATTTAGATTTCAAAATAATTTCAAATTTTTATTATAAGTTTAACTGATGCTTTATTTTCACATAAAGGATTTTAAGTTGATTACTGTTCAACAGGAAGTGGAATAAAGGATTTTAAGTTGATTGCTGTTCAGCAGGAATTAGAATAATACCCTTTTTTTCTAAATAGACATAGCTTGTAACTTTGTTAAAATTAATTTAGTATACCAAATATAGGTGTTTCCTAATATTTCATTAAAGAACTTAATTAGAATGCATATGAATAAAAAAGCTGTTTTAAAATCATAATTTTTGCTAAAAGCATAATCCTTTGGTTTTGCACCCCTCCTTTAATATGTTATGATAATTAAAATCTTTGGAATATTCTTTAATGTTAAGTAATTTTTCTCCTCAATTTTTATATTTATAGCTAGTATCAGTTGATGAACTGCATGGCATCTTTTATTTTTTTTTTTTTTTTTTTTTTTTGCTACTGTAGCATATACCAAATTTTTGTTTTAGTGTGTACTTTTGTAATGAAAGAATGTTTTGCATAGCTGTATGAAAAAGTATTTGGAGGTAAATTGTGTAACATATTTTGTTTTGCTTCTTTTTATGGTGCAATTATGAATGCTTGCTGCATTTTGTGCAGCCTTTTATAGTATTTTTTGTGTCAATGTTACTTTTCATTCTTGTTTCTTTTCACTGTCCTCTGTTCTGTGTAAAGAAAATAAATTTTGGTAATTGAAGGGGGTAAAGAACTTTTAATAGCATGCTTATATTTGGAATTGATAGTACTTTTTCTAAGCTAAATTTTGTTAAGTTTGATGGCAAAGTAAATCTCGATTTAGTTTGCAAGGTTGTGGATGAGCTGATATTTGAGTCCTTGAACTTTATTAGACAAGTAGTGAGTTATCACTATGTCTGAAGTAGTATGCAAAGGGTTAAATAACCTTTTTATTAAACTGAACTTCTAACAGAAGAGGCATGGCTTGTGCAACAACTAAACCTATGCTGCAAATAAAGCACTACTTATGGCAATGTAATTTAATTAATAGTTACTTAAATTTAAATGCTGGTAAAGTAGGACTACACAGGAAACAAAATAAGCTGTAAGCTGGCTCAGATAGCTTATCATTGCATAGGTTTAAAGCAGTCAACTGCTAGAGAACACAGAAGCTGAGATAATGTATTTTAGATACTGCTGGCAAAATCTAATAGCACAGTGCAAATGCGGGAGACTGTGTATGTGAGATACTGAAATACACTTAAAAGCTAATTTTCATTCTGGTAAGACATATGGAAAGAAGTTAAAGATCGATATAATAATAATTGACTAATAATTATAAGAACCATACAAGCTTAATCACTAATGTATGAGTGTATTGTGAAGTGGCTCACCAAAGGCTGAGTAGTAAAGTTGCTGAACATTGTTAGTTCAACCTTGGTTCAATTTCAGGCAAATAGATTGGCTGCGTGGGTGCTTTTATCGTTTTTTCCCTTGGTAATATGGAACAAGTTCCTCTAGATAATTCTCCATGAAAGCACATCTCCCTTTAGACACAAAGCCCTCCCATGCTTTGCTATAATCAATTTTAAAAAATGTGTATTGTTAAACATATTTGAAAAATGTGTTTATACCTAACAATATGTAATTTTTTTTGATTCGGCTATATCATTAACTTTTCTGATAGATTTAGTAATTAATATAATTTTAATCCAATTTTATCATTTTTAAAAATATTTTATAGTAATTTTAATAATCATTTTTCAGTTTAATATTTTAATGTGTAATTTTGAATATGGTTAGAATGCTTGTGTCCCATAT